TAAGGTGCTCAAACTGTCAAGGAACATGAGGCTTAATGATTCACAAGATAATAGAAACCTGGTCGGCTGTGGAATGAACTTTGGTGAGTGGATTCTGGCGCTGGGAGATGGAAGGCTTCCAACAAAATCCTTTATGGCGAACACACCTTCAGATTGGATTGAGATACCACAAATACTCTTGATATATGCTGGAAAAAATCCAATCGAGTCAATCACAAATGACATATATGAAGCATTTGAGGAACAACACATGAGCACAGATTACCTAAGTGGAAGGGCAATCGTTACTCCTACTAATGCAGTTGTGACTGAAGTGAATTACTTCATGTTGCAAAAAATTCCTGGACATTGCCGTTGCTACTACAGTTCAGACTCTATGCAACTTGATACAGAGGTACCTCAGCTATTTGCTGAAACTTACCCAACAGAATTTTTGAATGCTCTTCAGTTCAATGGTGTTCCAGATCATGAAATAAGACTTAAGGTTCACACTCCAATCATGTTGCTGAGAAATTTGAGCCCACCAAACGGCCTATGCAACGGTACGAGGATATTGATTACGAAATTGGGGGAAAATATCATTGTTGGAAACATCATGGGAGGATCTTTTGACACAAAAGAGGTTGTTATACCACGAATAGTACTCAACGTAGAAGACAAACGCTGGCCCTTTATACTGAAGAGGAGGCAATTCCCAGTACGTTTATGTTATGGGATGACTATAAATAAGAGCCAAGGTCAAACTCTTGACAAGGTTGGAGTCTATTTGCCTAAACCAGTATTCAGTCATGGACAGCTTTATGTGGCAGCATCAAGAGTAAGATCTGCAGGTGGTTTGATATTCTTGATTGAAAATGAAGAGGACATTCCAGCCAATTACACGAGAAACATTGTATATTCAGAAGCCTTCACAGATATTGCACCTGGTTAATTTTGCAAGCATCGAAGAAGCTCGAAGTGATTATTATGAACTCTCCCAACTTTTTGAATTTTACGCCTGGAAAAATTTGTTCTTCCAGTTCTTGCGTTGTTCTTAACAAGAGACACGTTTTGTGTTTTTTATTTCGAAACTCAAAGCTAGAAAGCAGTCATGAGTTTTGATCAGTTAACATCGGTTCGGACTATCCAGAGAGAACTTAGAAAGAAAATCGATGAGCCCAACTGATACAACTTGACAGAACAATGATCGCAGGAGCGTATTGTAGCCTTTTCTGTAAAAAGGCCTGATTCAACAATTAGAACCCATTGCATATCATACAGAGCCCAAACACGATATCAAGGCCCAAACAATCGATCCAAAAAGGACTTACCCTAAGTTAACCCTGGCTTACATAAACTACCGATTGTTTTTTATGCCTTCTAGAATCGGCCGCGCAGTCAAGATACAAAAAAAAGGGAAACCAGGGTCTCGAAGAACTGGAAGCTTTATTCTACCCAACAGATTTACAGTTGTATAGTACAACTGATACGTGAGATTCCGTGGACCCACACAAAATGGACCCGAACGAACTGAAAGGTAAATACATTGACTCTGGAAAGAAATCCAACAAACGCATCTCGATTCCTATGCGAGTTTTTTCCATTTATTATTTATCGATTCGTCTTTAATCGCGTTGCAGAGTCCATTGATTCAAGCATGTGCTTTCGGGGACTGCGTTTGGGAACAAACAATCGAACCGTTATAGCTAGACATGTCGTTACATGGACTGAGGTCCGAGAAGTGCCTTTATCCACATGGAAGAAAAGGACACATCACATGCTCTTGCTTGACAAAAAGGTTTGACTCCAGATACCCCAACCATATTCATAAATATTCGTCCGAGCATTTGATTCAGTGTTAAGACAAAAGAACTTGCCAATATACAAACCCTACACATCAATTAACCTACTGGCGAATGCTAAAATATCAAAAACTCTTGACAACATATCTATCTACCATTGACTTTACAGAACAAGTTGATCAAAGCTCAGGTTGAAGAAGAAGATGCAGATGAGGTTTTTAAGAAAATCAAGGTTGGCTGCCTGCATGAACTACAAGATATTGTAGCAGGTCCAGCAAGGTCAGTGCAACGCGTTGTCCATCGAGAGTTCCGCCTGCTCCTCACTTCAGATCAAATTAGGAGGCATATTAAAGAAGGAAATGGACCCCAGCAATTCCCAACAGGATCATGCACAGCAGCCGATTTTTCCATTGTGCCTCAAACATCAGAAGACTTTGTCTGCCATTCAGGTAAATATATGTCTCTCTATCCATGATTAAGAACACCATTAAACAAAGCATAACAAACATTAAATCTGTAGATGTTACAGGATGTGTTAGAAGACTAACTCATCCAGAAACAATTAAAGGAAGGATTCAGAAATTCGACCTGGTCATACAAGATGTCTGGTATGCTCTTAGGATTGCACACTTTTTTTTACTTTGTAAAAATGTATAGTTAACACATTGCTTTGCAATCAGTGGAGCAAAGGCTTATGTTGAATACAGTGGCCATGACATTGATGATTTTCAAAAGCATGCTCCAGCAATTGAGGCAAAGTTACCATTGATTGTGACAATCAAATCAGTTAGTAGAGTAACTCCTAGACATAACAGTAAGTATCAGCATGAGTTTCGATCCACAATTGCAAGTAAGCTCATCATCCATTCTTACCAGGACTGCTGCAAGGATATCATGAACATGTGAGTTGCTGTATATGGGTTTACCCAACTGATTGGTTCAACTACTATCGAGTTAGTGATACTTACACATTTCTTTTCAACATGTAGCTTTCTTGCATGTCGCAAACCAGTTTACTTCATCGATGATGCTACTTGCAAAAAAACTGGACACCTGCTGAGCAATCAACTGCAAAAGAAATCATTGAGAGAGATAAAAGAAAGGATGGAGGACCTGTCATATTTCACAGAGGTAAACGAACAAACACCAGCATTGACATCAGCTGTATATTTCCATCTGTTTACCTGTATAATACATTTGACAGTTTTTGCAACAGGTTACTTACATGACATTGATTAACATTCCAAGGTTTATATACAGAAAAAGCATCTGCAAAATTTGTGGAGAGAACACAGGGTAAGCTTTTGACCATTCTCCCACGTTTACACATGGCATAATAATACTCTTTGTATAAACCTAACAAAAAGATCTTTATTGCAAGACTCACATACAAACTGGAAGGGAAATGTCGTCGAGGAGGATCTGAAATAGATGTGGTGTTTAAGCATGAAGCAGCTCTGTCGCTTATTCGTAAGTCACCGTCAGATTATCAGTTTCTGAAGAAGGACCAAATCATCGAATTGATCGCAAAGAACTGTAACAAAAAATTTGCTGCGGAATTGACCGTCGCATGGAAAAAAGTGGGGGACAGTGATTCAGACATGCAACCAAAGGCGACAGTGCTCACCCTGTGGGATCGATCAGCATTCGAGAAATGATGTTGTCCTTCGAAGCTTGCCATTTTGATATCGTGCAAACCACAAAGGCACGAAACTTCTGAAAACATTTTGTCCTGCTGTTTTCCGAATCTTCAGTCTCCGCCATGGAACTTTTATTAATTTGGTAGATACATCGTGGAAAACTTGGCCACACTCCTAACAACATTCATGTTTATTCTGCAAACCCAGTCAATCTTTTGCATAATGACCGCAGTTTTTATGTTTATGACAACATTTATGTCTATATTTAGAACATAACTATTATGGTTATAGATTATATTAAATCTCATTTAAATTATGACAGAAATAGTATCCCGCAGCGGAGCGCGGGCTGAATCCTAGTGGTTATTATTCTCAATCAGTCTGTAAAAAATTAAGAAAACTAATAAATAACAAGACGACACGTGACACTATGCAACAAATAATAAAATGACTTGGCACTAAGTTGAACGACATCGCTTTGATCTCTACCCTTCACTTGTTTCAGAGACCCTAGCTGGGCATGTTCCATCAACTTCACCTTTTATGTTAACTAGCAAAAACCCGCTTGCTATCGCTTCGCGTATCAGAATAAATAAATATTTTAAAAAATAATAGTTTTAATGTTGACCCAAAACTGAAAGTAATTTTATTTCATTCTTAATTATTCTTTTCATAGGTTTGTTATTTACAATAGCATATGGTCGATGAACTTGCATAAGGTAGAAGGGTCCTCGAAAAGATTATTTATGTTTAAACTTCTTTAATGACACCAATGTTTCCATTTGTATGACTAGTAGTTGATCCTGCTATAGATTTTGCAGAATGAAGCAGCTTCTCTGGGTCTTTTCAAATTAGGTTGGATACCCATAAATTTGGGTTCAATTGTCTTTCTCAAACAAAACAAAAAAGCAAAATGAAACACACTAATACTAAAACTCGCTACCGACTCAAAACTCGTCAACACTAAGTTCTACTCGCTTTGACCTGGTTAGATGGAGTTTTGGACAAATTCACACTTGACACAACACGCCAATTACAAAAACAGATAAAACTCGCTCTCGTTGAAAACTTGTAAAATCGAGTTCAAGTCGCTTTGATCTGGTCAATTAGGTTGTATACCCATACTTTTGGACTCAATAGTCATTCTAAACCAAAAGGAAAAAAGATAAAAAAAAATTACTAAAGTGAATAAAACTCGCTCATGACCCCAACAAAAAGGAAAAAGTGAAAGAAAAAACACTAAAGCGAACGAAACTCGGTCCCGATACAAAACTCGCCAACACTGAGGTAGATAGGGTATGGATTTTCGGTAGCGGCATTGGGTTCAATTGTTTTTGTTTTTTTATTGACAAAAGATAATCATATATTGATACCAAAACATAGATAGTTACATCTTGGAATCAAGCCAGGCCTGAAAATCACATAAACGACTCGTAGTCGGGTACAAAGAGAGGGCTTTTCTAGCCACCAAATTAGCTTACCCTATTACTACGCCGGCCTACAAACCGCACACTAAGCCTAGGGTTGCTACCAAAATATTGTAAGACTTCCTCCAAAATGGCACTCATCCGGCTATCACTAGCATCCTTACAATTGATTTTATCAATGATGACCTTGGCATCCCCTTCGAATCTCATCCTCGTGAAACCCTGCCCCAAACACCAAGCAATAGCCTCCCGGAGCACAAGAAGCTCCACCACAACTGGGTCATCAATCCCTTGGAACTAAATTCCCTTAGCCATAAGAACATCCCCAGATGGAGACAGAAGGACCATGCCACCTGCTGAATATGATCCCTTCCTAGTAGCCCCGTCCCATTGACAAGCCACCCCAGCAGCCTGACTCGGCACACCTGACTGTGGAACCATCGGCGGAGAAAGCATAGGGGGCTCATCCGCTGGCAACCCCACCCATTCCTCATACTGCTGGGAAAACTGCCGCATTAACGCGGGGAATCCAAATTGCTTTCCTTCAAACACCACCCAATTTCTAGACCTCCATATGCGCCAAAGGACAGAGACAACTGCCATAAGGAGCGTCGGCTGCTAAATTAAGGCCATTAAACGTTTAAGAAACAGAGGAAAAGTATGCCGAGGCAATCCCTCCCCTAAGTATTCTAGCCCCGAATGGCCCCAAAGAATCCAGAAATAGATGCTCTATGGTTTCCGGGCCACCCCTACAGACTGGACAACGAGGGAGGATAGGGACCTTACGAGCAATTAGGGCCTCCGTGGTGGGGAGAATTTGATTCAGAATTTGCCAAACAAAGACTTTCAGCTTAGGGGGAATATTCGCCTCCCACAACCAGATCCAACTGGATCTATCCATCCAACTACCCGACGCCTTCCACCGACCCTTTCTCTTATCAAGGGAGACCGCCAAATGGTAGGATGACTTGACCGAGAACACCCCATCAGGAGTATTATGCCATATCAGTTTATCCTCAAGGTTCTGCCGGGGAAGGGGAATAGTTTTTATAATACGGCAAGTAGGTGGATCAAACCACTGGCTGAGTTTGAGATCACACCAACGCCCCTCCTCTTGACAAATTACATCAGCCACAGTAGGACCACCCCCCTCTGGTAGAACCAACGGATTATACCTCGGAGGATCAAGCTGCAGCTGAGGAATCCAGGGGGACCGAAGCAGAGACGCCGATCGCCCATTCCCAATTTTCCATCTGAGACCCATCTCCAATAATTCTCGACCATATAAGATGCTTTGCCAACCCCAAGATGGACGAGACCTAGCTTTAGCATTGAGGAAGTGCCACGAGGGGAAGTACTTGCCCTTATAAACTTGGGCTAGAAGAGAATGAGGCTCAACCAAGATACACCAACCAATCTTAGCTAAAAGGGCTTGATTAAAATGCTCAAACCGGTGGAAGCCCATTCCCCCCTCATGTTTACTCCTACACATATCCCTCCAGGCCATCCACCTGATTCTCGAGTATCCCTCCTCATCACCCCACCAAAAGCGAGCAACATGTTTGTCCAATAGGCGACACAACGAGAGAGGCATGTTGAAACAGGTCATTACATGCAACGGTATAGCCAAGGCAATGGATTTAATAAGTGTCTCCTTCGCTTCCCAAGACAAAGTCCTCCGTTTCCAGCCCTGTAGCCTTTCCAACAGTTTTTCCTCCAAATAACGGAAGGTCTCCATTTTAGAACGAGCAATCAAAGTGGGGAGCCCCATATACTTATCCTGCACCCCAACCGCCCCAACCCCCAGTATCGTAGCTAAGAATTCCTGGTCCGGCAGAGCAATATTCTTACTGAATCATACCACCAATTTAGCCAAATTGACAGGCTGCCCACTCAGTTCCTCGTATTCGTTCAGTACCGAAATCAAATACTCATTTTCCTGGAGCGTGCCCCGCAATTGTGATCATACTCAACAAAAAGGAAAAAGAAAAAGAAAAAGAAAAAAACACTAAAAGGATGAAACTCGATCCCGATTCAAAAGTCGTGGTAACGGCCTTGGGAAATGGTGGTGAGTAACAACTTAGGATTCCGCTGACAGGATTTCGAGATGAACTGCAAAATTGTGGGCAAAGGCGATGATTTGTGGAAAAATTAAAAAGCCATAGACGAAAACCTAGCGAACAATTAACTCGTGGTAGCAGCCTTGGGAAACGGTGGTCGGGAACAACTTAGGATTCTGCCGACAGTATTTCGAGATGAGCTGCAAATTGGTGGGCAAAAGCGATGATTTGTGGAAAAAGCAAAAAGTCATAGATAAAAACCTAGCAAACAATAACTAAACACAAAAGCGATGATTTGTGCAAAAAGCCATAGACGAATAATTAGCGAATAATAACTAAACACAAAGGTTGTAGAATGGAGAGTGGGGTAAAAGAAGGGGTTGGAACTTCTCCACTTGCACTTGAAGGAGTGTGAGAGCCAGTAATGAATAGTAACTCACAACCTATATTTTTATATATTAATTAATAATTAATTAATTAATTAATAATCATAAATATATGAAAGACTTGGAAGTGAACCGGGAAGTGAATTGGGATAGACAGTAGGCACAGTTGATCATATGTTACAGCCTTGGCGGACGATTGTTCCGTTGTGGGTGTTCAACAACACTTCACATGACATTTTTGCCTGCACACCAATCCATATATAAACATATTGAAATTTTTAACAGTGATATCTCAACTGAAAATACAAAATAAAAATAAAAACGTTCACAGACGTAACCAATTTCATCATCATTTTTCATATAATCTCCATCCATCAATCCGCAATCACACACAGCAACCATTTTTCATATAATAGATTGGACCAAATACATTTCTCAATCGTAATTCTTATAAATTATTTTAGATTCAATTTTATCTTGGTTCGGACTCAATTAGTCAATTATATATGGGCATGCCACTAGGTAAAAATAATAAATCAGTAAAAACAACAATATATACAAACTTACAAAGGAATGTAAAAGAAAATTTGGAGTTTGGTTTGGGCCGTAGTTTTTATTTTACCTTGAAAGGGAATCCAAAAGAAGAGAGGAAACCCAACCTCCCACCAACTTCCGCCACCGTACCAAACGGGACCTTCCCTCTCTTCAAGTCCCTCATCAGCAACAACCCGTCCGACAAAACGCCGATCCCGTTCACTTCCATCTCCGCCTCCAAATACGACGTCGTAAGCGCCCCCACCACCACCGCCGGCATCCCTTCCCCCGCTGCCGTCACCTCCCCGAGCCTCTTCCCTCTGTAGGACACCACCACGTCCAGCCTCGTCAGCCCCACCGAGTAAACGTCGACGTTTCGCACCTCCACCGTCACCCGCACCGTTATGTCGACGCTAGGAAACGGCACCGTGTGGATCTTCACTTTGGTCAGCCGCAGCCGCACGATCGTCAGCGTCGGATCCGACGGCCAGAAGGCGTAGGCCGTGAGAGATGCGAGGAGGAGGGACAGACATGCGACGGCGGCGACTGTGAAGGAAGTGGTGGCTAGGCGGCGGGACGGGTGAACGGCGGCGTTTTGGTCGGGCGGTGCGCTGGGTAGTAATAAGGGATGGACGGAGTTATCGTCGGGGAATTCGGCGACGGCCGCCATTGAATCATTGGTGGGGGGGGTTTTGTATTTCTATTTGGTTGCTTTGCTTTTGCTTTTGTGTTGTTGGTTCTCTCGGCTCTCGCTTTAATTTCTCGATGCCTTTTGTTTTCTTTATTATTTCTGGCGTATTATTTTAACAATTTGATTGAGTGTTTGTAAATGGGTTGGGCTCTTTCCCAGCGGTTCTTTTGCTTAAGGATTTCTTTGGCTTCACGGAGGCATGTGGTGGTGAGGTAGGATGGTCATTGCTTAAGCTATAGTTGTCTCCACGCAAGTGGTGATCTTATCTAGGATGACAAATGATTTGGTGGGGAAATGGATGGAATTGGATCGAAATGACATTTTCATTGAGTTGAGCTAAATTGATGTGAATTGTGTATTCGTTTAGGAGCAATTTTATAATGTTTTATATAGGATTGGTGTTTTGATTTACAAACGATACTATTATTGTACAAACTGAACTTAACATTATGGTATAAATTTAGTTTGCGCCTATATATATTTTGTACAAATTTCTTTCGTACAAACTGAACTTATATTTTTAACATTATAGCATAAATTCAGTTTGCACCCGTTTCTTTTATGCAAATTCATTAACGGTACAAACTGTACTTGTGCTTTTAACGTTATGGTACAAATTCAATGTGTACCTCGAAACACCAATACTTTAAATTATAATAGAAGGTAGTTGATTAGACTAATAAGTATATATAATTTGTGCTTCAATTCGTCTTTCTTTATTTTTAACGATTAATGGGGTGAGAAAGAGGTAGCTCCAATAAAGTTTGCTTAGAGCTGTGTATGTGGTATCATTCATCAAACTATAGCGCATTACTGAATTTAAGGAACACTTTGAGAATATTCGAGTTAAAAGGAATCTCAAGATAAACCTCATGTGTTATTTAACAATTCCTCATTTTGGAATTGTGAAATGAGGGCTAAATTATATATATGGTCACTTAAATTATATAAATTTTTACATTTGTCATATGTATTACTTTTTTTTTCTTATTCGTCATTAATTTTACGTATCCTTTCATTGTTAGTTACCGGTCGTCAGTAGCTGTCAGACTCCATTAACTTCGTCAGTATTTTGATCATGTGGCAAACGAAACTGTTAATTTAATGATATGTCACTTTAAAAATAAAAAACTGATCTCTCATTTTTGCTCGAGAAATGATTGCCTCATCCTCCACCGTCGCCGTGGACCAAGTGCATCACTCTATGACTTGTAGATCTGGGTTTGCTCCGAACGATGGGTAGTCTAGGAATGATAATAATATTGCCCCCTCAACGGATTTGGGTTTGTTAGTGTTTCTCTCTGCTCTCGTTCATTATCCCGCTGACGATGAAGAGTTGGGTTCGCCTACAGTCGTGTGGAGGCAATGATAATGCTTGCATCTCCTTTTCACTCTCCCGCTGACCAATTCACTAGAAATTTGAACTAGTTATGGATGGGTTATGAGTTGTGGGCTTGTCATCTCGGACTGCTCCCCTCTCTCCGCCAAGCATTTCACGAAGAACAACATTCCGTCGCTGAGAAGAACAACTCGATAAATCTTCCAAGAACCCCGCTCCTAAGCACCTTTCCCTTGGTAAACTCCTTTGACCCGTGGGAAGAGGAAAGGTGGGGCCACTCCTCTGCCTGATTTTTATCTTTTTAAATTTTTAATTTCTGTAAATTGACATGACATTAAGTCAACGGTCCAGTTAGCCGTTCCATTTGCCACGTAATCAAAAAACTAATGGAGTTAATAGAGTCTGAAGGAGACTAATGACTAGTGACTAACGTTGAAATAATTCATAAATTTAGTGATATATAAGAAAGAAAAGTAATTATTCAGGTGGCAAGTGTGAATGTTTATGTAATTTGAGTGTCCAAACGTGTAATTGAGCGGCAAAATGTGATTGCAACATTTTGCTAAGTTATCTTGGCAAAACACATTTTTATAACCATAACTTTCATGTTTGTGATAATTATATCCAAAACTATAGAACTACACAAAATGTCCATTTTCATCATCCCTTTAACAGTGACACTTAACAATATGACTGGAAACGAAAATGTCGAGTAGCCAAATTTTCTTCCTCACCAATCCACATAAATTAACAAAAATAAATAAATACAAAATCTTCTCACACCCAACTTCCCCTATGCCTTCTTCTTCCCCATTGTTCACAAGATCCAATTTCCTTCCCCAAAACCACTTTCCCATGTTCCTCCTCCTCCCCAATTTCCAAGCAAAAGCAGGCCATTGCTAACCTCACACTCACCTCCTCTCTTTCATCCTCCTTTACTCGCACACCGAAATAAAAAACAGACTGCTTCTATTGGGCCGGAAGATAAATGTTGGAGGCCCATCGCGTGACAAGCCCAGAGCCTCGTGTCCTAGTCCGAGTGCAGCTTGTATGAGTTGCTATAGTGGTGGGGTTGATGTATGGGAGTATATAAACTCCTCACATGTAAGGCCAATGGCCGTAAAAGAGTAATAAGAAAACCTAGTCTGTGGACGTAGCTCTCACACACTGTGAGGGTGAACCACGTTAAAAAATATCGTGTCCATTATCAATTCTGTATCTGCTTGTTTGATTTTTCTCATGGTATCAGAGCAGGTCAATTCAGCCTGCTGAAGAACTCTTGAAGTTACGTCATGGGCGACAAGGATTAGGATTCCCTGTCACCGTTTTATCTTCATCCATCTGAGACGGCGAGTCACCTGCAGGTTGGAGAAGTTTTAATGTCGTCGAACTATGGGGAGTGGATTGTGGAGATGACCGACGCCCTCATAATCAAAAACAAAATTGGGTTTGTTGATGGTACAGTTCCCAAACCGGTTGATGAAGCTGGAGTTCGTGCCTGGACAAGGTGCGACGCGATGGTCCGAGGCTGGCTTCGCACTGCCATGGACAAGGAAGTGCACGCGAGTGTGCGATGCCCCAAGACCTCGCGCAAAATCTGGCTCGATCTCAAGGATCGGTTTGGCTAGGGTAGCGCATCTCGTGCTTATGAGATTCGAAGAATGGATAGCTTACTTCAACAAGAAAAGCTAAGTATTTCAGCTTTCTATATGTGTCTGCGAACATATTAGGAGGAGTCGTTGTCGATCTCCCCGGCACCAAAGTGCACTTGCGGGTTATGTACTTGTGGTTTGGAGCGCCGAACTAAGGAGAGGGATGAAGGAGCACGTCTATTTGACTTCTTGATGGGGCTTGATGAAATCTTCGGGACCATTTGGACTCAGATATTGACAACTAAGCCCACTCCCACCTTAACAGAGGCTTTTAACCTTGTGTCCAGTGATGAGCAGCAAAGGCTCATTGCTCAAAAGAGAAGACCACAAGCCGAAGCAGCAGCCTTCAATGCTCGTGGCGGCAGTGAGCGTTCTAGTGGTCAACGGCCAAACGAGAATCGCACAGAAGGGCAGGAGAGAAGTCGCTCTCAGTGCACACATTGTGGTAAGACTGGGCATGTAAAAGAAACCCGTTTTGATATTATAGGTTGGCCTAGTCGTGACAGGAACTCACAAGGGATGCCAAACAATGGAGCTGCCGGCCGAAGATGTCGCGATAATAATGACGAGTCGCTGCCAAAAGCGTCCCAGGTTGAGTCGGAGAGTCCCGTAGTTGGTTTTACCATGCAGCAGCTCGAGCAATTGAAAGTGTTTTCTTTCAGACAAGGAAGGGTAGCCGAGTCACCTACATCTAACATGGCAGGTATGAACTATCTTATGTCTGAATGGTTAATTGATTCGGGTTGCAACGAGCATATCGTTTGTGATGACTCTATTTTGAGTAATGTATCCGTGGATTTGTCAAGTCGACTGGTTAAGATACCTAATGGGGACAATGTTCCTGTTGTGAAAGTGGGGTCAGTATCGTTGGCATGTGGTTTACAACTGGAGCGTGTACTACATGTGCCCGTGTTTCGTTGTAATTTGTTGTCAATTAGTCAGTTGACGAAGGAAAATAAGGAGGCTTTAATATTCCTCCGTAATTTTTGCATTCTTCAAGACTTACAATCCAAGAGCGTGATTGGGAGGGGGATTCTCCTTGACGGTTTATACTTTCTACGCTTGTTCGATCAGAGGGAGCGCCTGGTATTTGCGGCAAGAGTTGATGAAGCTTCGGCGGCAGTTTGGCACTCGAGGTTGGGTCATCCCTCCGTCGGCAAGATGACGTAGTTGAAGTCCTTGTTATCTCCCAGTTTACTTGATGATTTAGTTGATGAACATTGTTATTCTTGTTCACTTGCAAAACAAGTTAGGACACCTTTTGTCCTTAGTTCGATAAAGACGTCGGAATGTTTTGATCTTATTCATCTGGATTTGTGGGGAGGTTATAAAGTTGCTTCCTTAAGCGGAGCTCACTATTTTCTTACTATCGTCAATGACTACAGTCGTAGTGTTTGGGGTTATCTGCTTCGTTTCAAGTTCGATGTTGGCCGCTACTTAATGATGTTTTGTGAGATGGTTTCGACACAGTTTGGTCGACAGGTTAAGGGCATTCAGACAGATAACGGGACATAATTTCAGACCAATATGTTGCTAGATTATTATTCTCAGCACGGAATTAGTTTTCACACTAGTTGCACTGACACTCTGCTGTAGAACGGAGTTGTTGATAGAAAGCACGGACACATATTGGATACAGCCCGTGCACTTCGTTTTCATGCAGGTTTACCCATCGAGTTCTGGGAAGAGTGTGTTTTGACTGCTGTATACTAGCTTAATTGTCTGCCTACGAAAGCTACAGGCAAAACACTGTATGAAGTTTTGTTTGGCACTTCTGCCTCGTATAAACACCTTCGCACATTTGGTTGCTTAGCCTATGCCAAGGATACGCATCAAGGGTTACACAAGTTCGCCGACCAGGGGCGTACTTGTCTCTTCTTGGGTTATCCTTCTGGGCAGAAAGGTTATCGGATGAATGATTTGATGTCTCAGCAGTTGTTTTTCTCTCAGGATGTCAAGTTTGTTGTGGATCATTTCCTGTTCAGGTCGCCAGATCCTTCGCTGTTACATTGGGTACCGCGAATTGAAAACAATCTCCCCATCGTGGATGATGATGGGCACCTGTCTTCACAGCAGCCCGTCACTCCTCCAGTCAGCTTGCTGCATGTCTCCGCGATACCGTCGTCATCCAGTGCGCCTAGTGCCACGTCGTCCGCACCACTTGTTGATCCCGGACAGCCTCAAAGTTCACCTTTCGAGCATT